AATAATAATAAACAATGATATAAAACTAGATTTCAATAATGTCATTATAATTAATTTAACTTGTTTGCAAAATGACCGGTTTGGACTTCAGACAATGAACATTATTATAATATAACAGTATTGTAATAATAATAACTAAGCCTAATATTTTGATGTTAATATGTATAAGTAACATTTATTTTCAATAATGTCATCAAAATCTTATTTTCTCCTCACTGTATTTTTTATATTTTTTTTTTCAGATTCACACAATATCTTCTTTTGGGTGGAGAAACAAAGACTTTTTAAAGCCCTGACTCAAAGAGAATAGCACCTTTGGTAGATCCCTCATGCATCAGCAAAGTAAAGGTCGCGAAAATGTCAGTTTCACGCTCTCAGAAACATTACACGGATTGCATTTTCACTGAACCACAGCAAGGACAATGCACACTCAAGAGTGTGTTAAAAAAAACGTATGGTCAGCCACCATTATAGACAGGGTGGAAAGAATAGGATTATGGTTTGATGAGAAAAGAGAAAAGGAAGTTAAATGAATCTGACTGATGTGAAGAAAAAAACTCCCTCAAATGAGTGTGGCTCAATTAAAAAAATTAAAATAATAATAAATTAATAAATAATAAATTAGTTATTACAATTTAAATTTATTAACAATTTTAATTAATTAAATGTTTTTACATTTGCTGGTAAAATAATCTAAGAAAGACCATTAAAAATACAAAAAAAAAACATGAAAAAAACTGAAAAAATATATATTTTATTAACTGAAAAAACATGCGGGCCAGAGCAGACATTTTTTTAGTCCAGCTTACAAATATTGCCTTAACTACCCAAGGCACAATAACATAACATGGACATCGTATAGTGCTGATGGCCAGATCTCAGCACGGTTTTATTTATATTAATAGCGCCGCAACTGTTATATCGACATGACCTGCAGTGCAGAATACTTGAAATTAAATAAATAAATTATACTCTCCATAACCCCTAAGGAAGTACGGCGTTCAGTTAAAGGAAAGCTGTTGTGGGAAGAACTGCAGGATTTACACTATCTGGCAAAGGCTTTCATCTCGCTATTCCTTTTCTGTTTTTCATTCATTCCTTGACTTCATTCCACACTCTTGCAGTGCTGAGGTATTTTATGGTGTCCGTTCCCCATCATTCTCACTGCATAGTATTGATTATTGTGCTGTATTTCAGGAGTTGCTCCTAAGCAATGATTATTGGCTTGCACATAAAGAAAAACCCAAGTTAAAATAAAAAGATCTTCATCAGGATTCAAAAGAAGTGGTTGAAGCAGTATTAAAAGTACAACTTGAAGCCATGGGGGGTTCTGTTCAGGGTTGCATGTGTTGCAGGGTTATGGGTGGGGGGGGTGGGGGGGGGTCTTCAGCCACCGTCTAAATTGATTGTGGCAGGTCAGAATGAGGGCATGCAGGAATGTTCTGGAGTATCCTCACCTCCAGCTGACCTCTGGTGACCATCATTACACTGCATGAAAGTAATTTGGTCTTTTGACATTCACTTGAGTCAATTTGGAAACAAATCCTAGGAAAGCCGAGGGTTGTAAATAGAGCTGCTGTAGCTGCTGGATACAAAATGCTTGGTCTTCGAACAATGAATTGCATGAATGGGTTTTCATTTGCTGATAAACTTACCACCAAGCAGACCAATGAGGATTAATGTTCTCTCAAATTTTTGTTACTGGTGAGCAAAACCTATTTGTTTTAAATATATATATATATTTATATATTTATTCATTAATATATTTATGTATGTATATTTACATGCATTCATGTTTTTAATTTGCATAAAACAAATATATTTGATGAAATATCTTCACCCAATAAAGTATTAAAAATATAAACCAAAAAACGAAAATCAGTGGTGTGCAAGGTGGTTAGTCATTATTTTTTTATTAAGTATTTTATTAAGTATCTTCATTATCATATAAAATATAAATAAAATATAACTGTTAGCAGCAATACGGGGCCAAGCAAGCATAGCAACCACTGCAACTGCAAACACAGCAAGTATAGCAAAGATACTCACAGCAATCTCATCAAAGCACATCACACTGAACAATCTAAAAGCTCTACAATGTGCATCTCAAAAGCACAAAACACTTTTAAGATTTTTTATATAAACACACCAAATGTTATATGCCACACTAGATTCGAACCTGCAGGGGCTATTTACACCTGGTCACTTCATGCATTTTGTCTGATCGTATAGCTATCCGATCGTGAAAAGGCCAGGTGTAAATGCCCTCCAAAACGCATTCGAGATGGATATAAATCCAATCGCTCATACCACTTCAGGAGGTGGTCTGGACAGCATTCCAGACGAAACTGGACAAGTGTAAATGCATCTGGTTGTTGAAACCACATAGGTAAATTTTCTCCTCCCAAAATGTTAAAATAATAAATGCCGAGTACCTCTTCAGCAAGCCGACGCACAAACTGCCGCGAATGAAACAAAGTAAGACGCAGACGGTCAACACACAATCATCTTCATTATAAGTAGTAAGACAAACTTATCTTTCCAGTGCTGATGCCGCGCGCTCTCCTATTGCGGTCTTTGATCTTGAAATGAGCTGATAATTAATAAAATGCAGCGCTTATCTTTTGATTTTGTTGATGTGAACTCCGTTAAATTTAAATATAGCGTGGGAATTGAAGATCGGATTTATATCCGTTTTGCGATGACACATTTATGTGGCCAAGTGTAAATGGAAACATTTTAACAAATCAGATAGATATCCGATCAGAGAAAACGCATGAAGCGACCAGGTGTAAACAGCCCCGAAAGGTTTGGGGCCAGAGTGTGCCACTCTGCTGACGCACATTCAACAGGCTGATGAGGAGAGCTTTCAATGTGAGAATGAGCAAAGAAAGGCATTGGTCAAAGCATGTTGACCAAATTAACATGCTAAGATAATGTATATTATGTGTAACCTGATAGCTGAAGAGTCACATTACAAAGAATAGCAACTGATTAGCATGTTAGCCAATTATCACGTGAAGCTAACTAGCATAAGTCAATGAAAACAGGCATGGTCAACTTCAGAGAGGTATTTCTCAGGAACAGTACCGAATGTCAAAAATCCGTTCAGTCATTACTATGTGGCTCGGTTCAAAGATCATCTGTTAAGATTTTGGATAAAATTGGATAACATTTATAGGAGTAGTGGAAAAAAACAGTTTTTCACTTACTTCAAAATGGCGGACAAACGAAACGTTGAAAAATTAGATATCGTCAGACTCAGCATAAGCCAAGGAATGTATTGACAGCAAAATCTGGACAATGCTTTCAAAAGTTATAAGCATTAGGGGTGCTCCGATCAGGATTTTTGAGGCCGATCACAGATCGCCGATCACAGAAAGCAGTATCTGCCGATACCGATCCCGATCTTTTTATCATTTATAACTATTTATAGTGATACTCCAATCATTATTTTTACACATTTATTCAGGGCCTGAATTTCATTTTTGAAAATGGGGGGAATTCCCCTCTTAGGTGACTCTTTTGAGAGGGGAAGCAGCACGGACTGTGCTTTCACACAGGTGTCCACTACTGAATCATGGCTGTTTACCACAAACACAACATTTATCCATTATTTTGATTTCAAATCCAAACATTGTCACTGAAAATGCTTTTTCAGCATTGCAATTCTTTTTTACACAGTACAATATAATACAATCTTTCATAGATTAAACAATAAATATAAGCAACACATTATTCAATGCTTTTTACTTTTGCATTGACTTCTAGATTTATATATTAAGTTGCTCAAGCAAGTGGCAAAACATTTAAACTACTTTTCTTACATTATCACAAACTTACCATTGACAGAAATAGTCCCCAAAGACTATTTGAGACCCCAAAGTTGGTCAGATTACTATTCATGACCATCACTACAAGTGTGCCAAATTTCATAATTTTCTACTTACGGTTCATAGGGTTGCCATAGACTCCCAGTGGGAAGGAAGACGAAGTATAAGAAAACTAACAGATACAATAGGTGCTACAATGCCTTTGGTGCTTGGCCTCTAACAAAAAATACCCTAACAAACAAATTGATTGATTTAAAAAAAAAAAAAACAATCAATCAGTAAAGTGTTTGATTGATGAATTGCTTTTAAGCTCTAAAAAGTGGAAATTAACAAGCATCAGAGCTAAAATGTGGATAACTGAAATAATTTCTTGCCAAATTAGTGGCTGAATACCACAATCTGACCCACGTTTCTGAGTCAACGGTTGTTAGTTCAGTGTGGGAATGTTCTAGTCACTGACCACGCTTGGCGTGAGAACCAGTCTGACCAATATAACAACATGAAAGAAATAGCTTTTCAAACATGTAAAAAAGCTGGAGCCTGCAAAAACTGTACAGTCCTATCCCAGATAATCAGCAGTCACACAGATCTGTAGCTGTGCTGGAATCGCTCGAATTTGCTGTGACATTGCTTTTGGAAAAAGTAATTAGATGTGCTCTCAGCACCGCTAAATATATTTGACTAACTTCATTTCCACGAGTTCACAAGGTCAAACGAACATCTAAGCGAAGCATCAATATGGGTAGAAAATATGTTTAGTAAATAAACAGCCTGCTATACTACAAAGGTTCATCCCGCTGACAAAACGGAAACTAGTAAGTAAAGATCATAAATTTTACCCTTGAAAACATACACGGAGTTATTCTGTTATTCAGACCGCTGCCTTTCCTCACCCAAAACACTTTGAAAGACCAAAGTGGGTCCAAAGCAATTTTAAACCACACTTCAAAATCTACCAAATGCACACAAACTCCCTTGGTACATCTGTTGAGCGTTCGCTAAAGCTTAAGCTAAATTTACTAAAATGCAATGAACAAACAAGAAAAAGACCCATAAATGTGGATGCTACATTGTTGAGAATCATGTGTCCGCTAGTTGGCAAAAAATGGGATGAATTGGGACTTTTTACGAAAACAAAAAACGGTGGTAACGGTTGTCATCTCTTACCTTGGTGATGAGGATGCGGTATTGCTCCAGCAGAGGCTGATCATTGTGGCAGCCAGACAGGAGCTGCCAGACTTCAGCTCGTAAGGCCTCCGGGATCCCAGGCTTCACCAGAGCAGACAGACCCTTGGGTCGTGTCAACAGGTTTCCTTGCCTGACAGGTGGAAGACAGACGGCATCAGTGCAGCACAACAAAGCTGTTTTTTTGCAGTCGTGTTCGATACGGACTGCGCTCCAAATCTGGCCATACCACAAACTTCAAAGTCTCAAGTCGGGCCAAAAGTCTCACCATCTGTTGAGGATCCCTCCCCAGGATTCCAGAATCTTCTCAGGACAGTCCTTCGACACATCTCCTGTCCCGCTAGAGATCTCACTGTCACTATCTGTACAGCGGAGGACAAAGATAAAATGTTTGTTAATTCTGCTACCAAGCGTTAAAGCAAAAAAACTTTTTCGGGGGGCGGGGCGGGGTAGCACATGCAAAGCATGCAATGACTGTGGCAACTTTAACATTTGAAAGGATGCTATGGCAAAGTTATTGCTTTCTTTATTTTTTCATGAATATATGGTTGACCTGAAGAATGAAAGCTGTATCATACACTTGGAAAATTATGAGCTATATCACCGCTTATCGACACTAGGGGTGTGACAATACACTTAGCTTATGAGATGACAAAATGCAGATACTTGGTTCACTAGAACGTGAAAATATTTTAATACTATTTTTAAGAAATTTTCAATGACAAAATATTTGTCTTTTAATTACAAAAAGTAAAACAATGCAGTTGTATTTAGAAATATTTTAACTAATCTAGGCCTGTAACTACTGATTATTTTGGTAATCAAGTAATATACTGATTATTTTGACAACTGAGTAATCAGATTTTTTTTTAGTAACAAACAGACCTAAGTGAAAACCAGGCTTTAGTATGATTATTTATATATAAACTAATGATGAGGCAATAATAATTGGCTCAAATAAAATATCAAAACCAAGAAATTACATGATTGTATTGAACAACACTGTTAAAATATATAATGTAATATGCCTATACATATGAACATAACCAACTTAAGTACATTATGTATTAAAACAAATACCTGCAGAGGGCGCCAACTTTCACTGACGTTTCACTTTACAGCATGATTAAACGATGTTTAAATCCATTTAATTTTAATATTTGGCCACATGCAGAAACTTTTATTTTGAAATTGCGATATAAAATACATGATGGCATATTTAGACATAGGTTGATGTATTCTCCTGTGTTAGCAAAGGTTTTTAAATGGTTTACGTTACAAATCTAGTGAGATAATGCACACTGTTTTTCCAGATGAACGTTAAACAATTCAAATTCACGGCATATGCAGAGGAAGACTTTAGCCCCTTTCACACATAGGCCTACAGTACTGGTAAATTACCGGTAAGTTACAATTAATAGATCATGTGTGAACAGGACCTTTTCAAAAATCCCGGTAAATTTGTTCTGGCAATCATATCGTTTTATGGAGATGACATGATTACTCTGAGCTGTTTACAAAGCTCCGCTGCTTTTTAATTAGTTATTCTATGTAAATATGCGCTAGATGGACATCTTTGACCATTGCGTCTGGCAGCTTTTTGTCACGCTTCTCCATTCATCAGGGCTGCGACTGCGCAATTGGATACTATTATGCGCTTCTCGTGTTTATAAGAGCAAAACATTCTGATTGGCTAGTAATGTTAGTTTGGTTGAGAGTGAAAGCTGTGCTTCTCTCATACCATTGGAAGGCGAACTCATGGACTCGAAAGTGAAATCAATTAACAAGATTTTTTTTTTTTAAATGTAGGACTTTTTTTTTGTAGGACAATATGTAAACAACAAATATAATATTGTGCAATACATCTGCACAAAACGATGCAAGTGAGTAAATGAACTCACTAGTCAGAATGTGTGAAAACGCTCTTTCCATAAAAACATGGCAAAACATGGACAATGAAGTACGGCAAAAAGAAATCGCAATACTGAACTTGTTTTTGTTAAATTATATGTTTAAATGATAAAATATATGATTTTGTTTTTCCCTTTCTCGTCAACTACAGTATTATTTGTGCCATTTACTAAACAAAATATATTTTCGTCCAAAGACAAGAACTATGACTACAAGTGCGGCCACATAAACAACATTTTCATGATATTTTGCAGGCAAAACATTTTTTTTTTTTTTTTCAACAATGTTGATCAACATGGCAAATTCACATAACCAACTTGAACCAATTGCGAAATATGCATGGGGAAATCTTCCGTCAATGCAAAATTCCTGTTTGTGATGTGAAATGTGAAGTGACGTGTGGCCATATTGCTGCAGCGCCCAGCATTTGTGTGTATTCCTATTAAAATTACTGAATTTTTTGTAAATATGACCACACTTTAAACTAAACTACTTTAAACTAAAAAAATAATAATATCAAAACAACGCTGGCTCTATCAATCTGCCAGACTACAGCTATTGAGAGCAATTCCTATGTTTATTCCTATTAAAAAAATGTTTTGCCAGGAACAACAGTAAATGTTGTTTAAAAAAAACTAAAAATAACACGGACTCTAATAATTATGGCCATATGGTGGGCATTCTGCCACAATACAGCTGCTGTTATGCTTTGAGAGCAATATTAAAACATAAATCAATATTAAGAACTAAGTGACGCAATCAGATCCCACTTTAAGCTCAAGTTGTCACCCTCCGGTAAGAGTCTATTCCGAGTTTCAAAGTACATCCTGTCCTGTCGTCGCTAACTGCGAATGTTACAGGGCAGCACTTCGGATGACTCCATTCAGGCATGTTAGGATGCTGCACGACTCCTTTGAAACACAGCGTTCAGGCGAAATTACAGAATCGTCCTTGCAGCATCAAGAAGACCGAGGTGAGTTACACGGCGTACACACCTGCATTAGTCAGGGCAGCGGAGTGCCAAGATTACCGTCACGCCTTGAGGTGATAAAGAAAATGTCTTGGACTTAATGTCTGCAAAGGTCATTAAGAGCCGACCAGCAGACTCTCTGCCCTCCGAGCCCATATCTCAAGGTCTGCGTCCACAACATGGCCACCCACAAAGATGTTTGGAGGAAATGAACAGCAATGCATCTGGTGGCGTCAACTATGTAAGACTGAAAAAGTTAGTAATGGCAGTTATGGCAAGAAGCAAAAAGAAGTTTTTAATGTAATGATCTTTAAATAAAGAACAGAAACGCTTGTAGTGCTGAAAGAGGGGATGAATTTTGAGCACATTTACAATGTTCATGACCTCAAGAGAGAGCCTCAAATGCCATACATTTTACAATCACCGATGTGAGGTCTGGAATACAATGGTTTCTTTTAAAATGCTTTAAAAGGGCTTCTTTTTACATTTACTGCACAAGAACCTTGGCAATGTTGCAAGGAGAGAGACTGAGATAGGGAGAGAGAAAGCAGCCTTGAGCAGAGCCTCTGTCGCAAGGTGACATGGCAGTTTGGTAGCAGATGTGGGCGGATGAATCTTCTTTTCCATCTGCCTCCCCAATAGATCTCAGAAACGGTAGTGAAAGTTGGCGAGGACGAACGCTTCCAAAAACAACGACTTATTTGTACAGCCCAGAAATCGAGGCTTGGAACAAACTGCACAAATCAAAAGATGAGATTCAATGAGAACGGCTGAATAAGAAGGAATCATTCATTCATTTTGTCCACAAAGAAGCTATACAACTAAAGTTAAGGATGCATGACAATATATTGGTGAAAATACCAGTCAATATTATCAATATTGCTCATACTTTGGGTTACGTATTTTAACAAACTGCTAAAAAAAAACCAGAGTTTTGCACTGACACATTGATCATTCAAAAAAAAAAAATTTTCAAAAAAAAAACTGACCCTAAGCACACAGCTAAAATAATGAAGGAGTGGCTTCACAACAACTCTGTGACTGTTCTTGAATGGCCCAGCCAGAGCCCTGACTTAAACCCAATTGAGCATCTCTGGAGAGACCTAAAAATGGCTGTCCACCAACGTTTACCATCCAACCTGACAGAACTGGAGAGGCTCTGCAAGGAGGAATGGCAGAGGATCCCTAAATCCAGGTGTGAAAAACTTGTTGCCTCTTTCCCAAAAAGACTCATGGCTGTATTCGATCAAAAGGGTGCTTCTACTAAATACTGAGCAAAGGGTCTGAATACTTAGGACCATGTGTTATTTCAGTTTTTCTTTTTTAATAAATCTGCAAAAATGTCAACAATTCTGTGTTTTTCTGTCAATATGGGGTGCTGTGTGTACATTAATGAGGAAAAAAAATTAACTTAAATGATTTTAGCAAATGGCTGCAATATAACAAAGAGTGAAAAATTTAAGGGGGTCTGAATACTTTCCGTACCCACTGTATATATAATACTTATTAATATAATAGGACCTGACTATGTGGAAAAACGAATTGCTTAGTCTATGGAAATTGTGCCCCTATTATATATAACAAGACTCGTATTTTATTCCAGCTCTGTTTTGCCAGCATATGGAATCCCTGTATTTATGCTTTGTAAAATGTGAACATCCTCCAAATCTGGCAACCTTCAACAATCACCTAAATTATGTAAATAGCCTTGCACTCGATTCCCTCTAACGAGTTAAATTACATATTAAGTATATTACTAATACGAATATACTATAAACTAGGGATGTAACAATTCACTCAACTCATGCTGCATACATGCAACATGAACAGTTTTTAAACTAAATCAGATTGTATAATTTCGAAATTTGAAGCAAAAACAGAATCTGCATGAAACAGCTGAGCTGAACGAGACGCAGATTCACTCTCTGCCAGCAGGTGGCACTTAAATCATTTCCTTGGTTTCCGCTGTAAACAAAGCAGCGCTGCACTTATGAACTTTAATATGCATTATACAGAGGCAAGATGAAAAGAAAAAATACCATCTAAACTTTTCTAAAGACAGTAAGTTCCCCTCAGACATGGATTCATATAAACTCCTACACCTAAATAAATCACGATTTGTTTAGCATCTCAACTGATTTGAAACGTCACAAATTTGAATCGTTTTTCAACCGGCTCGCGGTTAATCGTTACATCCCTACTATAAACTATAATGCTCATGGTTTATTTATTATTGCTTGTGCTCATCAAATAATGTAACGCTGTTTCTTTGTTCAGCTGTTTCGGAAGCGCAAAAGAAACTTTTGAGAAATATTCAGACAACATTTGTGTCATAATGTACGCCTAGCAAGCAAGTATCCCTGCAAATAAACAGTTAAAAAACACAACTAATCACACCGTTCACAGACATTAGGCAGTAAATAACACAGAACTGTCCTTTAAGTGATATTTAACATGCAACTCAAACCCACGTAATCATTAGTCTATGTTATGTGCTAAAATCAATCAACAAAAACAGAAGAAAAAAGAAAAACCGGCCAGTTCCAGGTGGTCAGATGACACACAGAGCCCGAGAGCCAATACCACTTAACCAAATTGGAATCCATTCTTCTGAAATGGGTGCTGATAACCACTTGAAAGCCGCCAGGGTTTCACATCTCCGGCTTGTGGCACCCTGTCAAAAACACAGGCCGTCTCCTCTTCGTGAAAAAGAAAGACGGCTGAAACACTTCACCTAGAGCTACCGGCAGAGACTAAATTAAAGCTTGCGATGGATTCGTGCTGCCAAACCGCAGGCAGGAAAACGCAAGGGGAGCAAATGTTGATCATGTAAAAATTTGGTGGGAGAAAAAAATCTGGACGGATGATCTCATTCACTTGATGTGTTAGCATTGCCATATAAAGAAAAATGAACAGCAAAACAAATGGCCCTGCTACAGCTTTGCTGCCAAGGCAACCTGTTCTTTTGATGCCCGCATGTACATACATACATTCCCCCCACTCGCTCTGAAAAGAGATCTGAATAAGCTCAGAGATGGTCATTTTTCCGGTATTCGTGAGAATGGATGGGGGTAAGTGGGGCAAGTCTGCAAACTCACATGGAAATTAAATTACTTTAACAGGTTCATGCTTCTGATCTAATCATAAAAAGCAAAATAAATAAATAAATAAAACACATATACATATATACATAATAATGCATTCAATAATCATTCAATTACAATAAACTCTATACT